CTGGCTCAACCCTCCCAACCTGCGACTGCATGTAGTAACATGCCTAGTGGGCGCGAAGGGCGCAATTTTTGTAATGTTTCGCGCATCGCGGGCTCACTGTACCATGCTCGAGGCGGAGTGCACAGCGCGCATGTTCAAGACACAAGGCGTTACGTTACAAAGTGCTGCGCTCTGAAGCCGCGCTCACGCGTCTCGAAAGAGCAGGATTCCCGGCTGTTGAAGTCCACGAAGCGAGGAAGAAGGTGTGCTGGATCAAAGGTAGCGGGTGGCTGGCTAGCCAGTCCACCAGGAGTAAAGCCGAGCAAGGCGTCGAAGGTTCCCCGTGGGCCCAGGAGAACCGACGCCGGGCAGAAGGGCCTCGGCCGTTCGGCCTCGGCCAGAAAACAGAAGCCCTGGAGCCCAAGAGCCCGAGACGCGAAGTCCAGCGAACACGGGGGGTGGCGACGACGCGGCTACGGCGCTGTCTCATCTCGGATAAGTTGAGACAGCCTCAGTTGGCAGATCAGGCTTTTCATTAGATTGCCCCACAAAACGTCGAAGCCGTCGTTGGACAGATAAGATAGCGAGATAGGCCGGCTGCAACTGCAATCTCCAAAAAACGTCGCGACGCATGTCCTTCCACATCCCATGCGGTTTGGCATCTCTCTCGCACGCGCGCTGCCCTGCTTTGCCTTGCGGCGTAGCCCTGGCACGTCGACTGCTGCGTATCTCACATCTGGCGCGCGCGGTGCTGGTTCTACAATGCGCCCCAGCGCGCTCGGTGGAGCCGATCCCTGCATGGGCTTGCCTCCCAAGTGAAGTAGTGCCATGTGGACGCCCTGTCGAAACTGCTGGATCGTGATCGGCGGCACCTTCCGCTGTTCCTTCGAACTCTCTGCGTTCTGCCCCCTCGCTTTGTTGACCTCGCCGATGAGATGTTCGTCCTGAAACGAGCTGGCTGCGAGCGCATTGCACGCGTTCTGTAGCATGCACTCTTTCGGCTGGCACCTCTCGCCGCGCGCTTGCTTGAGGCGAAAGTGCGGGGCGAGGCCCCTCGCGTGCAGGCGCGACATCGTGGTCGACCGAATTGCGGAAGTGCCGGGGATCTCTTTCGATGGGCTCAGCAATTCCAACTGTGCCAGGCCCTCTTCGACGGTATGTGCACGTCGGCTGCCCGAGTCCTTCTCGCCGGATTTCACCTTATCCGCCTAGGCCGTCTCCATCTCCGCGCCCTGATCCGTCGCTGTGTTGGGGGGGGGGGGGGGGGGGAGAAGCCCCGCTCCGAGCCCGCCAAGTGCCTAGGCATATGCGTGGCGTCGAGGGCTGCGCGCTGCAGCGTCGTCACCTCGTCGCTCTCGGCTGGCGACCCAATTCCAGCATTGGCGCGGCGTTTGGGGGCCACCTGGTGCTGCTTGTTGGCGCGGCGCACCAAGGGCAGGCGTTCGCGCGCGTGGCGAGCGAGCATTCGCTGCGCAGCTGTTGAACGAACGCGACGCGAGCGTTCAGAGCCCTCATCATAGGAAAGGTGGCCCCACATGCTGCGCCGTCGGTCTCTTCATGCGCGCGCAGAAACTCCCCCTCGCATCCCCCCCCCCCCCCCTCGCCGTGCAAGGCGCGCCCGCGTGCTCCCCGTTCGTCGTCGCGCGCGCGCCCCCGCCAAGCGTGCAGGATGAGCGCATCGACCTTGAACTCCTTGAATGCCAGCCGTTGCTTTGCCCGGGGAGCGCAGCGCTCGTGAGCCTTGCCAGCGTTGTCTAAACGGCGGCGCTTGACGCAGTCATCCAATCCCGTGGTCTCGAATACACCCATGTGTACTTGCTCGTGCTTCATGGGGTCCCTGACGATTGCCCTGATCCACCTCAAACGTTTCAGATGGGGCTCAGCGGCAGTGGGCGATATGTCCCGAGAGGAGAAGACCGTCCTGGAAGGCATGCTGCGAGTGCGGCCGTAGTCTGTCGCGACCGCCGCTCTGCCTTGCATTAGTCCCCGATGCATTCTTGATCGCGCTGTCCATTCGATCATTGAACTCTTCAGGTAGCACAAACTCTGGCGGACCTTATAATCCGGCCGGATACACGAAACATACAAAAGGGCATCTGACCTTGCCGATCGTGATTGGCCTGGTCCACTGCTAGGCCTGGCGGTGCATGTTTGGGTAAATATTGGCAGGCAGCTGCCAGCTCTGTCCAGTCAACTGTTTGCTTTCTTCCAGCCCGCCGTCTTCAGCTTGCTCAGCAAGTCCTTTTGTGGCGGTATGCAGGGTCGTTCTTTGCTCTGCCCCAAATATGTTGCACTTCTTCGGGCCTCGGCTAGTTCCTGATAGTGAAGCCTTTAGACTACGAGTTTGTGACCAATCGTGTCTTGTCCAAGCTTTCGTGAGTTTTTCAGCGGTCTCGGTGCGCCTCTCCAGCGTGTGTCACCATCGTGCTGCTTGAAGCTCACGGGTAATGGGCTCGATCTTTCACATACTACATCGTACTCAGATTGCCGGAGATTTGATTCAATGAATGTCTTATTTGGGCCGAATCCCAGCCTTTCTAGTAAAACAGCTCTTCTCCGTGTTAGATCCATTCGCCCCTCGCGCATGTATTCGTACTTATGAGACGGGTGCTCGCCTGGGGAAAAATCTTCGTTTGGCTTTTGTGAACACGTACTCGCAGTCAGTCCCAGCCAGTTTGCAAGTCACCTCGGCCCCACATTTCCCCCCAGGCATATTCGGTGATTTCTTCGGCATGCCGTTCGATATCCCTCAAGTAGTCTATGCGCAGGTGCCCCTTTTAAACGTAGGCTCCCATGACAGAATCACGGTTAACTCGGGGTTGTTGAGATCCTTTGTGGCCCTGCTTCACGTGGCTGTCTACCTTGAGCATCAATGGCACGCGATCGTGCGGCAGTGCGGCGTCCCGTCGCTGTGGCCTTCGACCGAGCTGCTTCAAAGTGCGCATCATGATGATCCTCTGTAAGCATGCTGCGGGCACGATGTGATGGTCGACCTTGCTGCTTGACGTGCCGCTCTCGTGTGTTGGTCCTGTGTTCCAGAAGCTGCCGCCAACTGACACATGGTTCACTTCGAGTGCGTCTCGAGTGCGTTGCGAAACTGCTGTCTCTATGCTTGGGTTCTGCATTCCCACATTATCATCGGTTCGGTACTGTTTCCTGTCACTAGTATCTCGCCGTTAACAGAAGGAGCAGTTAGGGTCGCCGTCCATGATGACCACGCACTGCTGTCCGAGCTTGCCAACCGCTTATGAGAATCACGGCAAGTGAGTGGGGAAGAATACACCTGTCGTCGTGACGATACGAACCTTTGCCATGGCAGTGCGGCCTGCTATCCCCTGCGACCTTGGTGGGAACGGCGTCTGTTGCACGATGCCCCTGAGCGTAGTGTTGTACAGCACCGCGAGTCCACATGATCGATTCGTCCATCGGGAGCTGCGAGAACCAAAATGCACGCACGTGTGGTTGGGCAGATTGGTCTGAACCATATCCTCGTCCTTCATGGCTGCACCCGTCCCAGTCAGCAATAAAATATCGATGGTCGGGGCGAGGGTCGATATCTCTTCCCATCGTATGTAGTCCGCCCACGCCACATTGTGAGCGACAACTCGTAGTACCGTCGACAAGATTCCTGCGGGTGGAGACAAGGGAGAGTAGGTACAGCAGGCCGGCCTAGGCTTACCGCCCCGCATTGTACTGACTTCCACCCATGGGTTGTACGGTGTGGCAGGTGTGGTGGGAGTTCCTGCTGTGCTGAGAGCCACAGCAGCTCCTCAAGGTGAGAAGCAGGAGAGAAGAGGAGAGGAGGAGGGGGGGAGGAGGAGAGAGAAGACGCGCGGGAAGTGCTCTATTCAAAACGAGTTTGGGAAAGACACAATGTCCGAGGAGAACGACGAGGACGAGGGGAGACGAGGATGGAGAGTGAGGGCCCTCTTGGGCCGCCAAGATCTCATCTGCATCCTCAATTCGATCGACCGCGGGCGACCGCTTTTAGCTGCGGGGGAGGACCCACCCCTGAGCTAGAGTCAAGGTCATAACTACGAGAAATGCTACCTTGGCCAACCTGACAACATATCGAACCATGGCTGGATATGTGTAAGTGGTTGAGAAAACAAGCCGTATTCTTGAAAGTGGTGCAGCAATGATGGCAAGTTGTTCATGGTCGGCGCACCTGTGGTCGCCGTAATGCTGCCCGACGGATTCATTGCCAATCAATTGTCTTGCCCGCTCATGGGGCCGCTAAGGGGAGTGGAAAGAAAAGGGAAACACCTCTTATCAACATGCCGCTCTATCATACAACTCCCCATCCTTCTCCCTCTCCTTCCCCTTCCCGTCTTCCTCCTCCTTTTCCACCTCATCTCCTCCTTCATACTCCCCCCCTCCACAGAATCGGAATGACCCCCTCTCCGAACCGTCCCGACCCGCCTCGGGGGGAGGGGCAAGATCACACCCGCTTGTTCCCCCAGTCTCCTCCACTTCGAGCGCGCGGCGATACAGGAGCTCCGCATCCTGGAGAGGGGGGGGGGGGAACGTAGGCGGGACGGGGAGGCATGGAAAGGCGAAAACATGATAACAACACGAATGGTCTAGGAGAGGGAGGGGGGGTCTGAGAAATGCAGAGGGAGGGCGGGGATGAGAGAGGGGCAAGTAGAGGTAAGGTGAGGGAAGGACGATGGGAGAGACGACGCAAAAGGGGCAGATGATATGCTTGCTAGAAGGACGGGCAAGCCTAGTGAAGGTGAGCGGAAGGGAGGGCGAAATGGATAAAGAACCGTGGGAGGGGAGGCGAGGTGGAGAGGGAGGGTGACAGGGGGTCGACGGGGGAGAGGCAGAGGAAGGGTGGAGGAGGGTGGAGAGGAAGAGAGGAGAGGCGAATGGGGAAGGGATGGGGGAGATGCAAGAGAGAGAGAGAGAGAAGAACAAAGAGAGAGAGAGAGAGAGAGAGAGAGGGAGAGGGGGGAATGATCAGGGGAAGGTCGGAGGGGGGAAGAGGGTCAAGGGAGAAGGGGGGGCCAATCTAGGTGGGCTCGCACCATTTATGACATCCCAACCCTCCAAACCGCCCCTTCCCACTGCACCCTAAATTACCGTCGTTCTTAAGATGACCCAATCGTGTGGTGCGCTGTCAGAAAAAAACTGTACATTGGGCGAGCAGGATGAGATAAGGGATGCGCAGGATGAAGCGAAGGATGATGAGGAAGGAGGGAGAGGAAAAGCATCACCAGGAGTATGAGAACCAGGGGGATGCGGAGGAGGTGGAATGAGGGGGACTGCAACAACAAGGAACGAATCGGATCCAGAAGTGTGCCCTGTGCAAAGCCGAGAAAAAAACAAACCTGCACCACGGAAGCTAGACGCCGATATGCGGCGAACGTTTCAGCGGAAACGCCATTAGTTCAGGGCGATAAGCGGTCCGATCGGCGACAAGCATAGAACACAAAATGTGTAAGACCATGCGAGTGAAAAATATAAGGGAGGAGGCGCCCACGAACAGCACTTCATAAAAAGTGAGAGGTGGACATAACACTTATGTTGTGGAGCAGTGGGGGGCTGCGTGGACGCATGCGGGCCGGGATAAACAAACTTGACGAAGTGTCACAATCTCGCGCCCTCCTGCAACTCCTGCCTCCCTGAACTCCACTCCGTCCAACCGCCCCCCCTCGTCTATTCCCTTCGTTGCACATGCTCCCTACTCCCTTGCTGCTGCGTTCCTCCCGTTGTCCCCCACGCCAGACGTTTGTTAGTGTTGTGTTGTTTTCATGTTTTCTCTCTCTCTCTCTTTCTCTCTCTCTCTCTCTTTCTCTCCCTCCTTCTCGTATACAGGCGTCTATGCATATATATATATATATATATATATATATGTATACATATATACACATATATATATATGTATATGAATATATATATATATATATATATATATATATATATGTATATACATACGCATGCCACTCTGTATGCGTCGAACTATGCTTGGTGTATCACCTTTGCATGGGCGTCGCCCCCGCCACGGTTTGTGTGATCGCGATCAAGCCGAGCCGACAGCTGCAGCCCGGCAAAGGTCCAACCTTCGCGAGGCCCCCCGGCCCCCGAGGCAGCGGCCGCCACAAGGCGAGCTACGCCCACCAGCCGCCCCACCACCACCACAGGGGGCAGAGGGCACACCAAGGGCGACCGGCCCAAAGCACCGGGACACGGCATCCAAACGTGCTGACATCTCCCCGGGGCCCTCTCGAGAGCCTTCCCACGTCTGCCTGCAATGGCTTGCCGGAGCCTGTAGATAACATTCCGTCCCAACTGCGCGCATATCTGTTCCCAGCGGGACGCGGCAGCTCGAATTAAACGCTTCCGACTGGGAGGGGGCGTGAGAGCAACGGTGCTGGCCGCAGCCTGGGAAAGATACATGCGTGGGATTTTCGGTGCGAGTCCATCGCTCTCGCTGGGGCGTCAGCCTCTACCTCCGATTCAAGCAGAACCAGCTTCTCAGACAACTGTTTTCTGGCCCCCGTCGCCTGACACATGCGATCGTCCGACTCGAGCAGGGGGCAATGATGTTCTGACACTTTTGTGCCGATGCCATCTTTCGAGCTCACCCCCTCTGGGAAACCTGTGCGCGAGCCCATCTTCGGGGCCGCGATGTGCATCGGCGCGCGGCCCCGCTGATCAGGACATCCTCTCTTCGACGGGCCGAGGACTCTCCTGCGCGCGCGAGGACGCCAAACCCCACGGCCATCACGGCAGCTGGGCGTTCCCATCCCAGGTCCCAGGCTGCTGCCAGGAGGGCTGGGTCAATCCCAGCAGAGACAGGCGTGGCGTCCACTCTGTCTCCCACGCTCGGGCGAGACTCCAACTGCGTTGACGATGCCCTCTCAGCTCTGGCATCATCCACTGGAGGGGCTATCGCAGCATCCCCCGCCAGGTCGAGCGGCTCCAGCTCTGACCAGTACGCCTTGCGAAACATCGAAAGACCACGACCGGCATGACACAGCGATGACAGACGCCAGTGGCTCTTTTCGGCGCCATTCCTGCGGGGGGGAGGGAATGCTCGCGGCGGTCTATACTGGGCTCAGTCTGATGTCGATGGAGCCAATGCCCCCGTGGAGATCTGAGCTGGCTAGAATAGCAGCGCATCGGCGCGCAAGACCGCGCGGCTCTGCCGACGAAGGGCACCCTCGAGAAAAACTCGAAGCAACCGCCTGCGAGCTGTGCAGGCGCATCACCTTCGATCTCCTGAACAAGGTGGCACGGGTCCTGTGCCCGAGGGGAGCGCTCACTGCCTTTTGGCGCAGGTGCGCGGGCCCCGCGCGACCTTCTTCCGCGGGCGCGACAGCATCGGCCTCTAGCGCCGCTCTGCGGGGTCGATGGGCGCCCGAAGCCAGGCCGTCGCACGGAAAGGGGCGCCACGATCCAGTCGAATGTCACTGCCTGACTTCCCCGCAATCGCCCGGGATACTTCCGCCATCTCGCTGCCGGACGAAGTCTCTCGGACGGGGTCCTGGGAGAATTCAACGGTCTCGCCCAGCAGGTCCTTCACCTCGAGCTCGGCAGTGGAACCTCGGAAGCTCGCCTCGGCGATGTTTTGCCCGAGCTCCACCTCCACCCGACGAAGAGCCAGCTGGCGACGCCGCAGGCGGAAACGTTCCCCGCGGGGCCGCAGCGCTCGATCTCGACGCTTCAACGGCGAGGAGCCAGGGCTGGCCGCGGAGGGCGAATAGCGTCGGGGGAAGCCCATCCGACCCCCCCTCCTCCGCAGCGCAAGGCGGCCTCAGAGGGGGCGCGCGTGCTGGTCCTGAGACCTCCTCTGAAGCGCCTCAGAACTCGCCGTGGGCCATCCCGCGGGCTTGCGCAGGGCGCTCATCACGTCGCTGGAGGAAGCCGCAGACTGGGCCCTCCGACGAAGCCCCTGCAGCACCCAGGGGGCCCTTGACTTCGCGGTCACCTCGGGGCTGCGGGGCGACCTGCTCGCCGCCTCGGCTGCCGCGCCTGGCGCCGCGGCCGAGCGCTACGAGGAGCAAAAACGCCTCTTCCTCAACACCGAGCGCAGCTGCGCCGCCGCCGGGATCACCTTCATTCCCATGGTGGTCGAGGCGCACGGCGGCGGCTGGGGCAAGGAGGCGCGACGCGCCCTGGCCGTCCTGGCCAAGCGCGCGGCAGACGCCACGGGGGACGACCCCTCGCAGGTGGCGGCGGAGCACGCCCAGCGACTCTCGCATCTCCTCCAAAGGGAGAACGCGCGGGTCGTGCTCCGCAGGCTACAGGCGCCGGTCGGGGCGTCCGCGGCCAGGTTTGCGGCGGCCACGGCGGCCAACGCGGCCGACGCCGCCTGAGCCGCCGGCCCACTCCCCCTCCCCTGACTACGACCACCGCCCCCGGCCCGCCCCAACGACTGCGACCGCCCCCGACGCCCTGTCCTGACTTGACCACGACCGCCCCGACGACCACGACCGCCCCCGACGACCACGACAGCCCCCGACGACCAACGCCCCCGACGCCCTGCCCTGACCACGACCGCCCCGACGACCACGACCCTCCCCGACGACCACGACCGCCCCCAACGACCAACGCCCCCGACGCCCTGCCCTGACCACGACCGCCCCCTCCCCCGTCCACGACGACGACCTCCTCCGTCCGCCCCCTCGTTCCTGCTTGCTCTGCGCTGCCTCTGCCGCTCCCCTCCCTCCTCCTGTCCTGTTCGGCGTTCGTTCGCAATGTTTTTTCTTCTTGCCCCTCCTCCTCCTCCTCCTCCTCCTCCTCCTCCTCCTCCTCCTCCTCCTGCGCCTCCCTACGCAAAGAGGAAGCAGACGGCAGCCGCAGTTGCGCTGCTCGATTCTGGTCGTCGCGGCCTATACGGCACCTCCCTAACTCTGTCGGCACGTGTGTGGGACCAGCCCCATCGGTTTTTGCGCAGCATTTCAGGGCCGACCGCTTGATCCGCATTGCATAAGCTGTATCTTGTCAGCTTACTGTTGCCCTAATACATGCTGGTGTTAGGCAGGTCGAACAGCCCTCAGGAGCACGAGGGGCCTCGAGTGGTGAGATGAGGTTGTAGCTGGCTTCCGGCTCCACGATCACCCCGGGGGGCACGAGGGCCGACTTCCCCCGGGACGACCAATTGAGACGGGGCCGCCGACTCGGCGAACAGCGAGTTGCATGCGCTGATGGGCCTAACTTGGAGGACGTGGGAGGCTCCCGGATAGGTTCTGCGCTCATGAACAAGACGTTTCCCGCCGTCGAGTGCGCAGGCACGAATTCTTTACTTGAGCGAGCTTGCAGACCACCTTGGGGACGCGCGCGAACATGCCGCCGCGAGGGCCGCGCGCGCCCTGCCGCTCGGCGTTCGCCCCGCTCGCGCGGCGGGGCGGGCGGCCTCCAGTGGCGATCGCCGCAGCGACCCTGTCCTGCTGCGTAGCTGGGGCGACCATCAGACAATCGCGAAGATCCACGGCGCGTCCTATCCCAGCCAGACCAGGCCAACGCGAGCGCAGCGCCAGCCTGGCCCCGTTGATCCGTCTCGCTGCTGCTGCAGCCGGCGATGGCAATGCCTGCGCGCGCAATCGACGCGGCCGCGCCCCCCAGCCCGTCGAGGAAGCTGACAGGCAAGATCCGCGGCTCCGCCGAACTGCCGCGCTTGCTGAGTTCCACCGCCGGCTCGATCACTAGCTTGCCGGGCTCGCCCGCGACGCGGGGCCTCCAGACCTCTGAGCCTGCACTTTGAGCTCCCTCAGCAAGGCCCACCGCGATGCACATGCCAGCGCCTTCCTCGCTGGCGTCGGAGCAGGACGCGACGCCAAAGGTCGTGACCCATCGAGAATCTCATGTCATTGTAGTGATACGTTCTGGGACTTTTTATAAACATACCGCCCAAGATTCATGCTATCCATTTTTGAATTTAGTAAACCGGTTTTTGCGTTTAGTCAATGATGTTCGTCTTGTTTCGATTAGGCGGCGCACTTTGATCAATCCGTTTGTCGCTTACGTAAGTCCTCGCGTTGCCATTACTGTGTTTGAAGAATGCGCGCTCGTTCAGTATCATGACCTATCTTAGCTGGTGTGTAGCTATCAGGTTAGACGCGGGCGGCAGGCATCATGAGGCATGCGTGCATCCGCTCGTATATGCTTACCTTTGTCAGCAATGAGCGGCCCGCCCCATTCTGCTCCCACGCGGCATTGGACACCCCGAACAGTGGCCTCCTGAACTCCACCGCGCGCGCCCAGCGGCCCACGGGCACCCGGCGCCCTTTGCCCAGGGGGTCTTTCGAGAGCAGCCAACGTGATGCTGCGCAACGGCGCGTCATCGCTGCGGCTGTTCGCAGCCTGGCCCACGACGCCATCCATCTCGACGCCCCTGCGGGTGGCCACGAGCTGGCTCTGGCGGGCCTTCGCCTCGCTAGTCGCGGTTCGCATTCCTCCGGTAGCTCCCGAGCGCCTGTCGCTGCCCAGCCCTGGGCTGGCCCGCGCGCCTGGATCTTCTACGCCACAGCGCAGTTGTCGAAGTCGTCGACGCAAGTACCTTACCACCCACCAGGGCCCTCATGAGCCAGCGGCGCAGCAAAAGCCGCGGGAGAGCGACGATCTGGTCGCCAGTCTCGGGGCGGACGGAGGAGAGCCCCCGAGGGCGGCGCCAAGAGCGCAGCCCGCCAGCGGATGCCCCAGCAGACCGCCGCGCTGCGCATCCAGCCCTTGGGGGCAGCGCATTGGCCAGCCAGACATCTCTCCAGCCAGGGCCCAAAGATGCGACGCGCAAAAGAAAGCGCTCTCCTGTCGCCGCTTTTCGCGCCAGGGCCCCGTCAGGCCCGGGCGAGGCGCCGGCCCAGGCAGGGGGGGGCCAGGGCAACTGAGCCCCCCGCCAATGGATACGCATTCGCGGAGCCATGCTGAGGATCAGCCGCGTTACTCTCGCTTCTCTCTCCGCGCGGGCCACCGACTCGGCGACTGCGAACAGGCCGCCGGCAACTCGCCGCCCGCGGGCCCAGGAGGTCTGATCCGGGGGGATTGGCGCCATCCTCGACCCACGAGCTTGGCAGCTCCCCCGCGAGACCTCGCCGTTCGCGACCTTGACCTTCGCTTCCGGGCGAGACTCGGGCGACTCTGGCACGGGCGGCAGCGGCCGCGCGGGATGAGCGAACAACTCCGCCCACTCGGACGTCGAGGCGGCCGATGTCCTGCGCCTTCGGGGGGCCCGGCTCCAACTCCCCAAACTTGCGCGGCAAGGCCTTGCAATCCTCGTCGAAATTGTAGCATGCGCGCGTCTTAACCAGCTCGCGGGGCCAGAAGGGGGCCATGAGACCCCCCCCGCTGCTTCCGAGCGGCCCTTGCTGCCTTGCTCAAGAGGCCAACGCGCGAATTTTCGAGGCCCGTGGCGTCGGAGAAAGACCACGCCGAAACAGCGACCTCACGTGCCTTCCGCAGCGTAGACGGCCAGGACGTCGTGCAGCTTCAGAGGCGACCATTGACCAATGAGGTATCCTGTCGCAACATTCTCTCGCTGCCACGCAAGAATCGGCGCTGGCCCACTGAGAGGTTATGACATCTTGTCCCGCGCCCGCCCCCAGCTCTTGCGGTGCCACGCCCCATGGGGATCTCAAAATCAACTCCCTCATTCTAACGGGCATGTCCGTTGCGCGGGCCAAGGGGCCCCACGGCGACCTGATCATCGCGATGTCGCTGGGGCCAGACGCGCCGCCCTTCAAGCGACAGATTGCCGGCGCGGCCTCCGCGCCGTCGACGGCCGCGGCGGACAAAAGTTTCAGCGGGAATGGGGCGCCAGTCTCGCCGGGCCCCCGGCGGTTGCTGCGCTCGGCTGGCTGGATCCTCGCGGCAATCCTTGTCTCGCGCTGCCGCCCGGCCACCCCTCCCCTCGCGGCGAGGCCGCGCGGGCCGCAGTCCGCGCTGGCACTGGCGCGCCGCCCGCCGAACCGGGGGGGCTCGGCGCAGCCCCTCCGAGCGGCTCGGGGCGACCGGGCGCTCCTCCAGCAACTCGCCCAGAGGGGTCGCCCGCGCGGAAGTCGCGCCGGGGGTCGCAACTGCCTCTGCCGACGCTGCCGGCGGATCGCACGTCGCCCGAGTCGGCGCCCTGAGCTCGGACTGAGGCCGAGCCTGCTACAAGTGATCCACCATCGCCCGCTCGGGGGATGGCGCCGCGCTGCCTTTGCCCCGCGGGGCTGGCCGCGGCCCCTCGGAGACGCCCATGGGCTGAGAGAGGTCCTCTTCCGATGGTCCTGGCACCTGGCTTTCGTCGAAGGGCTGCGCGATGCCTCCGCGACGTGGACCTTGGAGCGTAGCCTGCGCTTGCTGCGATCTCTCCAGCCGCTTCGCGCGGTCGGAACTGGCCGGGGCTGCGTCGCAACTGACTTCCGCCGCGCGTGATCCGCCGCCCCTCGAGCTGGCCGTTCTCGCCGTCCTCGCGCTGGCCCTCGTAGCTGGGCCGCCCCGGCGCGGCGTCCGGAAGTGGCTGGCATCGCGGTCGCGCCAGTTGCGGCGCGGCTCGCCAACGCTGACAGCGCCGCGAGGGTCGCGCCTCTTTCGCAGAAAAGCCCTGCGTTGGCGCTCCGTAAAGTCCGCCTTGATGAAGGCGGTCACTGCCGCGGCTCGGCGCCGCGTCGCCCGCCGGAGCTCCGCGCTCCCCGGGCAGGCCTCGGAGTCGGGCGCGCGCCGCCTGTCGGCGAACGCAGAATTGTTCAACTCGGGGCTGCATCCCAAGACACGCCGCGAAGGGCTGTAGCTCTTGTGGCGCACCATACCATCGATATCGTCGCGCGCGCGGCCTGGCGCCGCCCTCAGGTTCTCGATGTCGCGCTCGACGCTGGTCTCCTCGAAGTGCCTAATGCATTCGCTCGATGGGTCCAATCGCGCGGCGAGAATCCGGGGCCCACGCGCATCTCGATGTTGCGCGCGCTGGCCTAGTCTAACATTCCCTGACTGCGCGCTGCTCCGCGCTCGTCCTCGACGCGCGCCACAGGTGCGGCGTGGGGTCTGACCTGGGGTCTATGGATCGGTTTGATCACATCGCTCGGCGACTCAAGCCGCGATCCGAGCCTCCTGGGAGCGACGCCTCGCAGCGCTCGGCCTAGGCCGCGCGCTCGTGGGGCCCCGCGCACTCGACGACCTCCTCGCGCGCACCCGATGCTGCCGGCATTCGCGCGCGCGCCTCTGCGTCGGGGATGCCCAGGCCCTTGTGGAGGCGCCCCTTGCGCCTGAACGCGCCCTGGCCGAACTCGCCCTTCGCGAACCTGTTGGCGCAGATGCTCTTCGCATCCTGTCGCCGAGTTGCACCGCAGCGCGGTAGATCCGCCCCGCAGGGTCGTCATTCGCCTCGAACCCCAGAGCGAGGAAGACCTCGCCCTGCGCGTTCGGCTCACTCAGCAGGTCGCTCAAGATCTTGGCGAGCTGGGGTGGGTAATTCTCGGCAAACTTCACCCTGTGCATGCCGGTGCCTGGCGTCCTGGCCTGGAGACGCACGCGCGTGTCGCCCTCGTGCGAGACATCGCTCGGCGGTGAAACTCCCGTTCTCTATCGGGCGGGCCCCTCTGCCGGCGTCTCCGAGATAGTCATGCGCAAGTCGGACAGCACGTGTGCCCAGGCTGGTTGCGCGGAGCTTTCGTCTTCCAACTTCTGGCCGTCGTGGGCGACTGCGCATGCGGGTCTCGGCCGGCGCCCCACTGGGCGTGGTGGGCCCTCTCGCAGAAGTTAATGCGCGCGTCGCGAGCGCGTTCTCCAGCGTGCCTTCGAACGCGCGCGGCCTTCATCGGCGTCGCAACTCATCTCCCGTAGCCTCGGGGCCCACCCACGCGACGCCCAGCTCCTCCTCATTCAACGTCCGGATGAAATTCGCCTGCGTGCTGGGGTCGATGAAGTCTCAACCGTCGTGGGTTTCAAATGTTCTCGCCTGGCACCGTCGTCGTCGCAGTTCTGCTGCGAGCTCCGATTGGCCGCCGAAAACATTCCAAACTTTGCGCTTGCATCGGTGAACGTCCTTCACCTCCTCCAAGTCGACTCATATATCCTTGTGAGCTGAGCCCACCGCGCCCTGCCATCGGCGAAACTTCGTGGTGCTGAGGCCTATGGCCAGGTTGATTACGCCGTCCATCGCATCGAACGTGTTACTGATCGACTATGGCGCCGACGCAGTCCGCGGACTCCTCGCGCGGCAGCGCCTCCTCTCCAGGAAACACACAGGAGCTGATAAGGTGTCGCGCGTGAACGTGGTCCAACACATTCTGTGGTAGGAAAGTCTGGTCGGCGCGGTCCTTCATGCATGCGTCGCAGCGCTCCAACATATCAATGACTAAGTGTCCTGTCTCGGCCTGCTGGCGCAAAGGAAACGAGTTGCCGTCGCCGCCCCCAGCATGACAATTTTTCCTTGTAGGCCGTGACCATGCCGACTCCTCCATGATAATCTGGACGGAAAGAAAGTGGCATGCGACCTTGCCTTGTACAGAGTATCAAGATCTCAACGAAGCGGCCTCCTCGGAATGAGGTACACACTGCGCGCGCCGTCGCCTCGCCCGTCGAGTCATTTCCGCACGTGGAATCCGAGGAGCACGTGACGAATTTCATGTCCTGTGCCGGCAAGTCCTTCGTGGCCCGCCCCTTGCAGTATGCCTTGAGCGTCTCGTGACCCACTATCACGCGGGTAGCACCGCTGTCGAGCACGGCTTCAGCTGGGTCCTGGCCGTCCGCATTGTAGACTGGGTCAGATATCCATGCCGGAGATCCTCCTGATGTCGGGCGCTTCTTCTGCAACGTTGGCTCGCATCGTGCTCTGGCGCGGGCAGTCGCGACTACGATGGCCTCTTTCACCACATCTCAAAAACATCGCCTCCTCCGCGGCGCTCGACGCACAGCCCGGTGCGGATCCAGGTCGAGTCTGTCCTTTGCCGCGCCCCGTTTTGCCGCGCCCCTTGATTGGCGTTCCTTTTGACGCGCCACGGGCGCGAAAGCCATCTCCTCGAGGCATGGTCTGCGTAGAGCTCAGGCGCGGTGGGGGCGGCGGCTTTGCCACGGCCATAACAACGTTGAAACCTCTGGTGAGCCTCATAGCACTAATCGTCTTTCAGGGTCGGTGTATATGTCCATGATGTCGTCACACTCGCCCAAACTGTACGCTTCCTGGTATGGCGGCTACGCGTTGGCCGTGTCGTTGTATTCGCTGGCTTCGCTGTCGAAGCCGCAGGTACCTCCTTGCTTCAATTGGTAGCTGTTTGTCGCCCTCGTCGTAGTGGGGGTGCCCAAATTCCTTGCCGTAATAACTCTCCCCCCTTGGTAGTCGTCCTCGTCGTAGTACTCGGCCACCTGATACGCATCAGCCCCTGAGCTCGCCCGTCGTGATGGCATCGAATCCAAACCGAACGTCCTCCTCACCTGGTTCTCTACGTTGTCGAAGGTCGGATTATCCCCGATCTGGTCGATAGTGGACCGCTCGCCTTGTTTGTCTAGCTCAGCTCGCCAAAGGAAGAACCAACCAAGCACTTTGTCTAGGAGGGCCACGTCGTGAATTATGATATCGTTTTTTCCGCCGTGCAAAAACCGCGCCACGGGCTGGTTAGCCACTCGAAAAAAAGGTGGTCTCGAAGTCGGTCGGCTGCTCCGTTTTTTGGCCTTTTCCCCTTTTCGGTGTCGGTGATCCTCATGTCTTGTACAACGTCCCGAGCACGGCCCCGCAAGCCTTCCATGATCTCCAATTCGACTAACTTCTCCGAGTCCTTGCTCCTGGCCCTGGCGGCGTAGACCTCAACATTCTTCCTGAAACTCGTGCAATTCCCGGTGGAACCGTCAAGTGCGGCTGCCCGGTCAGCATTATGTAGTGTGTCATCTACTTCTCATTCTGTGTCTTCCGCCACCGTGCCCAGTGGTGGTCCCATGGGTATTCTCGTGTCCGTGGAGCCGAAGCTCCGCTACCAATATCGAGCCTCTCTGGATTCAGATTGCAAGTCCGACCCAATCGTCCTCGAACCACTCCACGACGATCGCCCTGCGTGCCGGGTGGAGGTAAGCGCTCCTCTTGCCAAGTGCGAGAGGCCTCTGAAAATGGATCGGACGAAACCCCCGTCAGAACATGGACGTACTTGCTATGCTACACTGCTCTCCTGTGTCTGCTGTTAGACCTGCTTGCTGCAAGAAACGACGGGGAAGGGGTAGGCTCTCACATCTTGTCAGAAAACCCTCTAGATCCACATTGCACGGACAACAATACACACAACCTCGTCCTCTTCCTCTCCTCCTCCTCTTCCTGCTCCTTCTCCTCCTCCTCCCCCTCGTTCGAAACCACCTATTCCCTCCTCCTCCTCATCCTCCTCCTCCTCCTTCTCCTCCTCCTCCTCCTCCTCCTCCTGCTGCTCCTTTTCCTCCTCCCTTCCTCGGTCCGCCCCACCCGTTTCGATTCGCTCGTTTCGTTCGAGGCGGTGCCGCAGCCCTGCACGCCGGTGCGCGTGCGCACTGCGTCCCGATGCCGTCGGCGCTCGCGCCCCGCCGGCTCTGGAACCTCGGTGCGGATCGGTGCAGCAGCACTGCTCTAGGAGGGCACCAACTATACACCAACACCGATCCTGGCACGGATCACCCTGGGCCTAGGATCGGTGTATACGCCCTCCTGCCTGGGGCAAGAAGGCATATACACCGATTATGGGCCCAAGATTGGCCTGGCCAAGATCGGTGTTGGTGTATAGCTGGTGCCCTCCGATGCTCTGCCACTGCATGACCTCAGCACCTGCGCTGACCTCACAATATCAGCTGATGCCCATGGGTTCCCTCCACTCCCCACCTCCGCCGCATGCGCCTACCGCAACACCGTAAGTGACAGATGTCGGATTCAACATCGGTTGCCGCATCTCGCTGAACAACGACAGCGCCTGCTGCCAGTGCTGTGGTTCTCGTACGCGCTGGTCCCAATATTGCATTGGATGACGTCGGGTTCCAGATTCGCCTTCCGCATCTCGCTGAACAGCTTCAGGCCGCCGCTGAACCCCATTCCAATACACGCTGATGCCAGCGCTGTAGCTGATGACGCTGGTCTCCAAGGTCGCCGCTCACAGCTTGCTCAACCACTACTCCCCCTTTCCGCACGCGCTGATCCCAGCGTCGTGGCTGATTACATTGGGCTCCAGATTCATTTTCCGCGCCTCTCTCAATAGCGCTATCAGCCGTTGCCACTCCTCGACCTTCCTGTATCGGGGGCGCGCAAACATGGATTAACGATCTATGGACTTGGCGCGCGGTCGCCAAGTCCATGGATGGGGGGAAGTGCCCTCCCCAAAATGCGGCAGGTGCCGCCTCGCTCGGCGGCAGAAATCCGCGATTTCGCACGGAAACGGGACCCGTCGCTAATCCACGCCCCCTGAATCCATGTTTGCGATCGCCTGACAACTATTCGCTCCACCCCGTCCTCCTCCCCCCTCCCCCATCCACCTCCGCCTCCTCCTGAGATTCCCTGGCACGTAGGCCGGTTTCCACAGCAGGCCCGCTCGCGCGCGTGCGCGCCTGCAGCCGCCCCTTCGCAACGAGCAGCGTGGCGTAGTTGGCGACCGTCCTCACGGGGCGGCCGCATACGCAGAACATCACCTTGCCTGGCCACGGCCATCCTGTGCCCTGGCATGGTGTATACGCCCTCCCGGCAGGGGCCAGGGGGGTCTCAACACCATCCTGAGGCCTAACGTGGCTGTGGCCAGGCATGGCTGTGGCGAGTACGGGCCTCCTGCGGAGCGGTAATCCACAAGGGGAGGGCTTCCTCGAATCGAAGAAGAGAACCCGCCCTGAACATAAGCTGTTGGCGCTCCGCGCGGATGTTTTGGATCTGCGCCTGGCCCCCCCTGGCGGCACCTCCGGCCCTGCCCCTGGCGCGCTCCGCGGAGCGGTCATCCACCCAGACCCTCTCGCGCGGTGGAAACATCGCTGATCAGAACTTCTCAACAATGGTAGAAAAATCCGCCGATCCGGCGTGTGAACTACAAGGAGGCTCAGCAAGAGCTTCAGCTCTGAGCCGGGTGGCTCTGCCGGGGAAGGCGGCGAGGGGGGGGGTCCCCCATCTGGTGTTTCCTTAGTGATTTGCGCATCCCCAAGATGTATCGGGGGGTACCAAAGACCCGCCCCCAGGACTCTCCCCTCGGAGCCCTCCCTGGACCCCCCCGGGGAAGGAGGGGGGGGGGGGGGGGGGGGCGGTCCCCCATCTGGCACTTTCTCTTTCTGATTTGCGCATCCCCAAAATGTTTCGGGGGGGTCCAAGGCCCCCCTCAGATCTAGCCGCTACCGCCCCCAGCCCTCCGCTCGGAACCCTCCCCAGACCCCCCCCGGGACCGCTCCAGGCACCCCCCCAGAGGGCACGTCAGCTCCAAAAAGCGTCTCCGACGACTCCAAGAGCGCCCTCCCTCCCAAACAGCGTCCGCGACAACTCCAAGATCACCGAACCTGGAGCCCCCCCCGGATCGGCGGCACTGGCCGGAGACCATTACCATCGTCCCCTGATTCTTTTTGGGGGCTATTTTTGAATATTCCTCATGTAGAGGAACATGCCCGACTGAAATCCAGACCAGCGGGGCGGGTGGCGTGGCCGGCCCAGGCTCTCAAAAAGCTCCCCAAGGCGGCAGCACGCAATCGAAACCCGACCGCGACCGAACCGGAACGCGAAAACGAGACCCGGCGCGCACTCCGCGGAGCGGTAATCCACCCGGACCCCCTCGCGCGGTGGAACCATCCCAATCGGAATCCGAAGCCGAATCGAATCGAAATCGGAGGCCATCGAAATCGAGTCGAATCGAATGAGAGGAATCGAAAATGTCGGGGTTTGCTACAAATACTCCTGGCCCAAGGTACCCCCAGGGTTCTCGGGGCGGCCCAGGCGGCCTCCAGGGCACCCCTCACGAGCCCCAGAGGGCTCCAGGGGCTCCAAAATGGATTGAAAAGCTGGGGGTACCTTGGGCAAGGTGCACTTCTAGCAACTCCCGAGAATGAGCCCAGAAGAGGAGTGCCCGGACCCCCCTCGCGCCGTGGACACCTCGCGGCGGGATATTCGGTGTTCAATTTCGGCCTCCCAGGGGGGGGGGCCTTGCTGGGCGGGCCCAGGCCACCCCCTTCGCGCCGTGGACAAGCACAGTACTTCGCCTGGCCACGAGAAGCCTTCCAGAAGAAACCCAAGGCGTCGCAAGGCATACCGAGCGTCGCTGCTCGTCGCTCGAACCACGAATCAAACAGAATAGCGCTTCTAGTCAAGGCGGATCTTTCGAGCCCCAGATGTGACACGTGCGCTTTGAACGTGCCGGCGAGAAGCAACTGCCGGCCTGGGCTCCTAAAGGGGACCCGCCTGGAACTCCTTGGAAAGGCACGTTCAGGGTCGGGCGCTCGTGCCCCGCAATCGGCTAAGGAACCCGTGGCCTCATGCCTCTACTCCTGCCAAGTGAGGTGCACAGGCTTCCAGCTCCTGAGGGCCCCCCCTTACCCTGAACGAGACGCGAGTCCAGTCCACAAGAAACCTTCCACAAGAAAACCAACCCTCAGACCCCAGGGCGTCCACAGATTTCGACTTTTGGTGTGGGAACGTCACGCCTTCAATCGCAAAACCACCGAAGCCCAAGAAACCAAGGGCACCCTGAAGGCAATCAGAATGTTGCTTGGCATGGGCTTCCGCTGTAAAGACGGAGGGTGTTGAATAACTGCAGGCCTACTATAGGGAGCGCTCACTGGGCCCTCGCTGGCCCCCCAGGGCAATGAGAAAACGGCTCGGGATGAAAAGCTGGCCCCCGGGAGCGAGTCCAAACCCCAGGAGGCCCATTCTGCGAACAAGCATGGAACGTCTCGAGCAGAGACCGACCGTCCCGGCATTCGTAGAGGCCTACCACTAAATAGTCTTAGAACCCAAGAATGTTCGAATAACAAAAACAATGTTCTTACAAGAACAAAAACACTGTTCTTAGGGCATTCACCCGATGTGCTAAAACAGGACCGTCCCAGCCAGAAATGTTCTAAGAACATTTCGTGCAGACCACAAAAGGTTCTTAGAATATTATTTGGTGGGCCTATCGGCGAGCCAGGACGCTTCGCCACTGCTTGAACGTCGGGAATATGGCAGGAGGTGCAGGGGCAGACCAAGATTCTGTGCCTTTCTCTGCGACAACTTCTCGTCAAGGGTAATGGATCAAGAAATCCGCGCGGAGCTCCGACATCCTATGTTCGAACAGTTTGTTACTCTTCAAGCTCTGCTACAGCAGACACATCAAGTAAGCGAGCAGCCTGTCAGCACGTGCTTCACGAAAATTATCTGATCCCCCGATGGCCCCAGGAACCCACAGAAGCTCTGGGCACCTCAGGACCTTCGAACATCGACAAAGCATGTGCCCCGAGATTTCTTATATATATACAAATAGATATAGCAAGATGTTTTATCGTACGTGCCTGCTGTAGCCTGTCCCGTTTACTTTGTCCAATCAAGAGTTGTTTTGTTTCCTCCATTTTTCGGCGATGGCCCGGGTTATACGGTAGGGGGGAAGGGGGAAAGGCTGGCCGATTACCAAACCTTTTCGTTTTGGGCAACCCTACGTGCACCCGCGCGCACCAGCACTGCGTGCACTCGTCGGACCTGCGCAACCAACAAGGCCAGGCTATCAGGAGGGGAGGGGGGAGCGGGCGGGCCCGCTAACCCGGGTTATCGCCGGACCCTGAAAACAGTCTCCTGCGTAAGACAAGTGATGGGCCCACCACGTTCTCGCAAGGGTGTGCAATCGTACTGCCACGAATTTCAAAAGACGGCGCCGTTTCGCACTGGTGCCGCTGTAGGTTGTTGCGTATCGAGCGTTCGCCCCTCACGTTCGGCTGCGAAGCGCCGCCCGAAAGCATGGGGGTCGGTGTCAGCACGTTCTCGAGTAGGTTCCCGAGCCGCGTGTCTGCGCAGATGCGCTCGCACGCGCGCGGCACTTGAGCGTGCAAACTACAGCGCGGCAGTAGCTTCCTGCTGTGCCGCGGCCCAAGCCAAAACAGATTGAGCACAAACACCTACCCATTGGTCGAAAGAAGTAGGTAGGAACATGAAGTAGGAAGGCGGTAAAATAGATCGGGCTCCGTCCACCCCCTAAGGAGGACGGAGAAGGTGAAGCCACTCGATCGTTGTTGAAGTAGGAAGGCACCTAAAGTATATTGGAATCTGCGAATCCGAGAATACCTACTTTCAACGGCCGATGGGTAAACAAACCGATGCCCTCGTAGGCACGACCAAAGCCGGGAAACCCCTCCCGAACCCCGCCCTGCAGTCCCAGGCGACGAAGGCGGAGGAGGAGGAGGAGGACGACGAGGAGGAGGGGGAGGAGGAGGAGGAGGAGGAGGAGGAGGAGGAGGAGGAGGAGGAGGAGGAGGAGGAGGAGGAGGAGGAGGAGGGAGGAGGAGAGAGGAGGAGGAGGGAGGAGGAGGAGGAGGAGGAGGAGGAGGAGGAGGAGGAGGAGGAGGGGGAGGAGGAGTAAGAGGAGGGGAGGAGGAATACGTTTTGGGCCTGCGTGGGGCTCCTCGTCGCCGCGGCTGGACTCCCGTCGAAATCCTGGTCGGAACGCGCCCCTGGAGAGGTCCTGGTGCCGACGTGAAGGGGAGCAGGAGGAGGGGTGGACATCGGGACAACAATTCCTTTGCAACTGTGGCATCCGGCAGTCTAGTGGGGTCCTCGGGGCTATCAGACATGGGCCCGGGGGACGATGTCGAGGGGTCCGTGGGGCCTGCATCACGAAACAATGTGAAGTCGGAGGATAATGACAGTCCTCGAAGAAGGAGATGGGGCGGAGGGAGGGGGGAGGAGGACGAGACCGAGATGGGTGTTTTTCCAACCCTCCTGTGTTTTGGGTCCTCGGTTTGCGCCGCGCGTCTCCCTCCTCCCCTTCGTCCTCCTCCTCATCCTCCTCCTTCTCCAACTCCTCATCCCCTCCTCTCCCTACTCCCTCCAATTCCTCATCATCATCCTCTTCCTTCTTCGGACTCCGGCTCGCCCCTCACATGTTTCCCTGTAAGGAGCTTCACCGAAGGCCCCGGTGGCTGCGTTCGCATGCGGCCCCGCCCCATTTTCGGCCGACCCCTCACACGTACGTTTCGTGGACCCACAGGGAGCTACACCGAACGCCCTAGTGGCTGCATTCGTATGCGGCCCCGCCACATGTTCGGCCGACCCCTCACGCGTTTCGTGGACCCCAGGGCAGCTCCACCGAAGGCCCCAGTGGTTGCGTCCGCATGGGCCCCACCTCATTTCGGCAGACCCCTCACACGCTTCGTGGCCCAATAGGGAGCTCCACCGAAGGCCCACGTGGCTGCGTTCGCATGCAGCCCCGCCTTCAACTTGCCACACCCCTCAAATGTTTCATGGCCCCGTAAGGAGCTCCACCGAAGGCCCCAGTGGCAGCGTTCGCATGCGGCCCAGCCCCATTTCGGCAGACCCCTCGAACGCTTCGTGGTGCCATAAGAAGCTCTACCGACGGCTCCAGTGGCTGCGTTCGCATGCGGCCCGCCCCATTTCCGGCAGACCCCTTAACCGTTCGTGGACTCATATGGAGCTCCACCGCAGGCCCC